TCGACAGAACGCGCTTTTGAGCCGATGATATGCTGGATAGTGGTTTGTTCTGTAATTTGCGAATGCCTTACGTAGATTTTAGCACTAGAGACTCTAGCTCAGCACGTCCTGTGCCCCAATAGGGGACTTTACGGGCCTCACGGCCCCCGGACGAAAAATATACATACATACATACATACATACAAACTGCTGACTCCAGAGAACATGCGTTCGCTACTTTTCAGCATTGCGGGCTGGATGATGAGGTATACAAATCGACGACGTGAACATTTTTCCATTCGTAACTGCCTGTATCTATCAAAGGAATGTCACATCGAGAGTCCGTCATCGAGGAACTTGTCGATAGTATTCGTGAGGCTCGTATTTCAATAAGCTTGAAGTAAGTCAGAACTTCAAAACTGGATGTTTAATTTGCTAGCTGATTTGCAATTTCGCGAGATAAAAACATCCAAGCTATCGATCTAAGAATTAGCTGAAACTGTCAACATATCGACGTGGCCATTATAGAAACGAGGGCCGCGGAACATTGCTGACAGATTACCGCGCGGCACGATGGTGCGATGTCAGCCCCATCAGTAGCATTCAACTAAGATCTGAGGTCATCTGGACTATTAGCCGCGCGGGAATGTATAAGCTGATGCTTCAACACAGGAATGATTGGCGATATGTAATTGCTTATTCGTCTAACGTGATTGCAACTGTCAGCACATTATGGAGAAATGCCTAAATACAATGCGTGTTAAATATGTGGCGTGGGTACCAGTCCTCGCGCTCAATACAGGTCCATCAATATTGTCTGCAATGTTTCTTAGTGCCCTCCTGAGTTTCTTGGCTAACGCCTTTCACTTCATGACTTGCGAAATCTTTCTTGAACCGTCACATAACTCAAAGACCATGTCTCAAAAACCAAAACACATCGTCACAATAGGCGGTTCTTTCGCTTCTGTCAGGACAGCCCACAAATTCCTTCAGGGGATGCAAAACAAAAATGCGGGATCTTACAAAGTGACAATGATTTCTCGCGATTCGCACTTCTTCTGGAATCTTGCTATGCCCCGCGCCATTATCCCAGGAACCATCCCCGATGATAATCTCTTCCAAGCCATTGCGCCTGGGTTTACCAAATACGGCGACAAGTTTGAGTTGATCGTTGGTACAGCTACTGGCATTGATATCAATAATAAACAGGTCAAGGTTTATAAAGCAGGGCAGGAGACTTTTATCAGCTATGATTATCTCCTTATTGGTACAGGATCTTCGACTAAAGCTGAGTCGCCATTTAAGTCCAGGGGATCAACTGATGCGACGAGGGACTACGTTCATGCGTATCAAAAGGGTGTTGGAGAAGCCCATTCCATTATCGTTGCTGGTGCAGGGCCGACTGGTGTAGAGGTTGCAGGCGAGTTAGCGGACTACTATGGCAATAAGAAGGACATTACTTTGGTAAGCAAAACTTCCCACCATCTAGTCAAGGTCAGGCCAATACTGACGACGAATTTGGATCAATGCCGGCCCAACTGTCCTCGATAATCGCCCCGACAGCGTCTCCAAGTCCGCACATAGTCAACTCGAGAAGCTCGGCGTCAAGATCAGACTCAACACCAAAGTCAATGAGTCTATCACTCTTCCCAACGGCAAGCAAGAAGTTACCTTCTCAAGTGGAGAAAAAGTAGTTACAGATCTCGTCATTCCAACATTTGGAGTAGTTCCCAACTCATCCTTCGTCCCACCTGATCTTCTCGACGCGCACGGATACATCAAGGTTGATCAGTATCTCGCCATCGAAGGTCGACAGGATGTTTTTGCAATTGGCGACGTGTCTAATGTCGAAGCACCGCAGTTTTGGTTCGTGAACACGCAGGCTGGTCATATGGCCAAGAATTTGGTGCACATAATGATCGGAAAGCCTATGATTCCGTACAAAGCTTCGACAACTGGTAAGTCATCTCCTGGTATCTGATAAAAAGCAATGCTAACTTTCACAGCAATGGGAGGAATGCAGATCGGCAAGTCAGGCGTAGGTCATTATGGAAATTGGCGCATCCCAGGTTTTATGGTACATGCGATTCGAAAGACGCTGTTTGTTGAACAATTGCCCAAGATGATTGACAATGGCAATTAATGCCCCCTTTAACATTTTATTTGCCTTTGCATCGATTGAGGTTGGATGTCTTGGAATGACGTGGAAGCCTGAGTTAGCGTCCACCAGGCTAATCTCAGCAATGTCACTGGCCCTGATTTCTTATCTTAGCTTCGAAGCTTAGCATCCAGGTTCCACCAAATTCCCTGTACGTCATCGATCATCCCAACCGTGTTCCTTTAAATAAAACAGGCCGAGACTGCAACCTCGTGAATCTTTTCCCTAACTAATAATTTCTCCATTACTGATTTTCGCGATGCATCACAGTCTGCGTGCCATTGCGGCTGCAGCTTTACCTGCAATTGCTGTCGCGTCTGTCATTCAGCAGCCAATTGATAGCTTTGATCATACCCAAGGCTACCAATTCGATCCTCTTCTCCACCTCCCGGGAATATCGCCTTATTTCGATGCCGTAGGCTTTGGATTGTCGCATGCTGCACCTGAGGGATGCACGGTTACAGCTGCTTCGTATCTCATCCGACACGCTGCGATTTATGCCAATGACGCCGAGTATGAGGATTACATCAAGCCTTTCCTGTACAAGCTCGAAAAGCATCGCGGTGACTTTTCAGGACCACTTGAATTTTTGAACAAATGGTACTCACCAATTGAAGAGAATCATCTCGAAGATGTCACGCCTTCAGGCAAGGTTGACGCGAAGAAAGTTGGCCACCACCTTGTGAAGCGCTATCGACACCTAGCGTCATCGGTAAAGCGCGTCATCGCCGATACGAAAGACAGAACCTACGACACTGCCAAGGCATTTTTACAAGCTTTCCCCGAAGACGGCAGCATCGAAATTACGCGTTTCGATAAGAAGGAATTGAATAACGGCACACGCGCTCTTCTTCCTCACAAGGCCTGCTCGAAATTCTCCAAAACGCCTGGTACGGAACAGCAGCAGAAGTTTGTCAAAAACTACGCAAGTGGCGTTGCGAAACGCTTACGCCCGTATACACCTGACGACTACGAACTCGCCCCCTACGATGTTTTCGCACTTCAATCAATTTGTGGCTACGAATCTGCAATTCGAGGAAAGAAATCTCCAATTTGCGGATTGTTTTCTGACGCGGAGTGGCTTTCGTACGAATATGCCTGGGATATGAAATATGCTCACATGGTTGGGCCTTTCAATCCCCTGTCGAATTACTTGGGTTTTCCATGGTTGCATTCACAGTCTAAGCTATTCAGCAAAATCGACGAAAACTCTGAATTGATTGGTGATGAATCATCAGGATGGCCTAAGGAACAACGGCTATTTTTCTACTTCACTCATCGCGAAGTCCCTCCATTCGTTGCTACAGCGCTCGGAATCTTCAACTCATCTTCCCGCGAAGGATACGACGAGTTTCCCACTACGCACGTCAACCATGTCCGAGCTTGGAAAATGTCTGATTTAATTCCATTCTTAGGCCATGTTGGCATGGAAAAGATGACGTGTGAGAGACCAGTTGCTAAAGACGGCACATCTGAGAAAGAGGAGTTTATCAGATTTATTGCCAACACTGCGCCTCGACCCTTGCCTTTGTGTCAGAACGGACCCGGGGCCAGTTGTCCATTTGAGGAGTTTAAAAAGATTGTTAGCGCGGGTATGGAGAAATATGGGGATTTTGATGGTATTTGTGAGAATAAGCAAGAGAAGGATGATGAGTTGTAATGCGACAGCACTGCGGCAAAACAGAACAGATTGTACAATACTAATAATTTCCGTTGGTTCGTTGTCTCTTATCATCTTATGTGAAAGTAACCTTGATAACCCGTATCCAGTTGTTGTTGGTGAAACCGATCGTCAACGTCTCGCCTGACTCATCCAGATGCGGGTACGCTATTCCAGCATACACCAGACCTCCATCGATGGGCTCGTCCTTGTAAATCTCTTTGCCTTCCGTCCAGGGACCTTCAGGGCTCGGAGCAGTCTTCAAAAAGACAGCACCAGCTGTTGCAAGTCTGTCAGCAATGCATTCGCCACCATATAGGAGCGTACTTACAAAGATCAAGGTGAACGTAGAAATACGTCTGGAAGTGATTATTATACACAATCTGACCTTGTCCAACACCCCACATAACAGCTGTCTCACAATTGAACGTAGTGAGAACTTCGCTCTTCCATCCTTCTTGTCTACCCCACCAGTACTCATACTTATCAAGGTCGAAGGCATCTTTTGCGGGTACGCGAGCCATGTAGATGTACAGCTTATCAGGAAAGTCGGTGATTGGGTTTGGCGGATTTCCGAGGATGTAGATGTATTCGCTGTTGACGTCCCGATACGTTGCGACGTCGCCGTACTTGGGTACCTCATCACCATTCCACCAGATGCCATTCTCGCCGTAGCGATCGGTAATATGGGGGACGTCATCGATGAGCTCAACTTTAGCAACACCAGCGCCCTTATAATGCTCATCGTCATTCTAAAGAGCTTTAGGTCAACAAAATATCGTGTAGGGATAGGTACAACTTACAACGAGATAATAAAGAGCACCAGTCGCAGTATCAGGGTCAACCTCCACGATGCCCGTCCCTCCAAAGCCAAAGGTATTGGTCTCACCCCACTCCTCGTTGAATGGCATAAATTGCTTCTGGTGAGGAACCGGCTCATCATCATTGAGATGTAGGTCTTCCACAACAAGAGGATCATCCGTCAGAGCAGAAACAGCATTTCTGACCATACCATGAAATCCCTCATTATCGTCTTCAGGATCAGTGATACCTGAATCACACCATAGTACATCGCCATAGACAGCGTACCATTTTCCTCCAAGTTGACCTGTGAACCCTAAATCGCGACGGCTGGCGGTGTTGCTAGACTTTTGGGTGCCAAGAAACTCAACCTGAATGTCGCCGATCGGGTTCTCACCCTCTGGTTGAGTATTATCGACAGTCATTATAGCAAAATATTGTTTATACAGGATATTTGCTAGTATAAAGAACAAAAGTGTTTGACAGTAACGATCTTTTATCTTGACGTGTCTCTTCATGGTAAACTTGGCATTGCCATCTCCAAAGAGGGGTCTAACCGTTGCCGAGGCTCATGTGCAAATGCCAATGCATGATCGGCACGGAGTATCCGATGAAAACCTGTCTTGAGGTGTTGCAGGATTGAGGCGCATATAAATGCCAAGTTTCTATGATCTTCAATTGAGCTTAGGGTAGATAGTATAGTGCTCAAGGTGAAGCTCCGATAAGATAGGCGAGGTGAGTTTTTGGTTTTTGGCTTTGACGATGACGAAACGGCCCGGCAGCCGGAAGTGGCGCCGCGGCCCGCTAAAACAAGCCTCCGGCGTTATTTAAGGAACCATAGAAAATAACGGTTTTAATGGAGTTTTTTGTTATCTGATGAACTATGTCGTACATGCATATGCAACGGTGTTTCTGACTGTAGTCTTTTATGAAAGCTAACTCGTTGATACCGTTCGAAGTGTATCACTGGGCCTCTTGAATGCCACTCGGTGGCAAAAATGGATCGTTTCTTTCAAAAATCCACTTCAACAGCGATGAGACCCAATTATCCAATTACTTTTATGTAATTCTGGATGAGAATTGTCCCGGCTCGGCGGTACTCGGCGATGAAGAGATTTCGATCTGAATCGTCAACAAGTAAAGCTGTCACGATCACCAATTGAATTTTTCAAAGAAAGGGTCTTCGTGTCATGAAACCTGGGGTAGTGCAGCTGCACAGTCTACCATCAGCGGCAACACTACAGGGCTGATCTTCCTGCATTCAAGACGATGAAAACTCTCTTACTGCAGGTACAAGATTGCCGATGGGTCCTCACGGAAACTAGTTCTCATTATCCCCATCAATAGCCCCCTTTAGTATGGTTTCAATGGTGATCGAGCCAGGGAGAGGGATGAGTTAATCGAGCACGCAATCGCACGCAATATTCATAGAGACATATAATAGAATTGATGAATCGCCTATTGTGTAATCTTCAAGTCTTTTCTCACTTCTTGCCCGTTGGCTGCTTCTCAAAATGGCCTCCTCACACGATGGCTCCGTCATCAACCACCCAACCGCCTCCCCCACAAAACCATCATTCTTCCGCTCAATCCCCTTCCAGATTGCTATAGCATGCGGAGTTTCATTCACTGCTCCCGGCATGTGGGACGCCCTCGGTGGCCTTGGCGCCGGAGGAGCAGCTGAACCATACGCCGTGTCAGCCGCTAACGCGCTTGTCTACGGATTATTCGCGGCTGTTTGTATAGCAGCTGGTGCGATCAACAACAGAATTGGTTTACGGTATGGTCTGGCCCTAGGAGCTATTGGATATCCGATTTATGGCGCTGGTCTTTATACGAATAATGTTGCGCCAAAGACGTGGTTTTTGCTTTTTGGAAGTGCGCTCTGTGGTATTTCGGCGGGTTTCTTTTGGGCGGCTGAGGCAGCCATTATTATTGGATATCCTAGTCCCAAGGATCGTGCATTTTATCTTGGTAAGTTATGAGATTGGATATGGAATTATTTAGCATGAACTAACAAGGAATAGCCATTTGGCAAACTGCCAAGGCAGCCGGCCCCATTGTCGGAGGCGCCATTAATCTCGGTCTCAACGCGCAAACTTCATCAAAAGGATCCGTCAGCTCAGCGACTTATATCGTCTTCATTGTCATAATGTGTCTCGGTCTACCCATCGCTTTACTCCTGAGCCCTGCGGAGAAGGTTCAGCGAAAAGACCGCACGCTCGTCGTCGTTCATAAGCAACCCTCTTGGTTGGCCGAGTTCAAGGCTGTTCTGTCGCTCCTTGTCACCAAACGCATGCTTCTGTTGATCCCTGCTTTCTTCATCAGTTACTTTTACAATGGCTTTATGAGCACTTGGTTGACAACCTACTTCACCGTTCGAGCTCGCGCCTTTTCATCGTTCTTCACCAACTTCTCCGGAATTATCAGCTCATTCCTGATTGCTGGTTTGTTGGATCGCCAATCCATCTTTATCAAGACTCGCGCTAGAATTGCGTTCGCTTCGATCATCTTCATTCTCATCGGTACATGGATCTGGGCTTCCATTCTCCAGAAGCAATTCTACGACGCTGAGGAGCCGCCTGTTTTTGATTGGTTCAAGGGCGGTTTCGGCAAGGCTTATACCCTCATCTTCTTCTGGCAATTTGGAGGTCAAGCTTTCCAGCAGTTCTTGTATTGGCTTGTCGGACAGTACACGACTGATATCTCCTCTTTGTCCTATCACTGCGGTATTCTCCGAGGATTTGAGGCTTTGGGCCAAACCGTCGCCTGGGCGTAAGTGCCACTTTACATACCTACTTATTATGAACAAACGCTAACGATAAACAGTATGCAGTCTGAAGGCAACGCCAACCACTTTGTCAGTATTGGTCTTAACTTTGGAATCACTATTCTGTGTATCGTACCGACATGGATTGTGTTATCTGGACTAGAGCACAGCCACGAGATCACGGTCACAGCTGGTGAGGTGTCTTCAACAAAAGACCAAGATCCCGATGCCAAAGCATAAGTTTTAACATAATATTCTATAATAATAATAATATCTTTCAACAAGAAAAAAAATTAAATCAGCTCCCACTACGCTAGTGATACAAAGAAGCAGGTCTCGGCCTAGGACTTGTACCCGACCTCGGTCTCGTCACAGCAAGTGGCGGCGGTGATATAGGCATTGACGTAGATCTTCCAACACCTTGCACAGAAGCATCGCTGCCTATAAAACTCCCAGGTCTTGACCTTACAGGACTCAACTCATCATCTTGGTGTTGATCTCTCTCAATTTCAACAGCAGATACACGCACATTTCGAAACTCTTCCCCTGGTATCATCGGTAGATCAACACGATCTGGTCTTTTGACTTTAGGCTCGGTGATGAAGTCATGCGCTGGGGTACCAATCATCTCGCCGAATCTGAAGAATGCATTCTCTATTTTCTGTCTGTAGGGGTTGCGGGGGGGTTGGTTGTGCTCTTCGTAAACTGAGGGGTCTCGAAGTCGGGAGGAGATTGAAGACCGTGGTTGAGTTGGATCGAGGTGCGGTGAGAGTTGGTTATTCGTACGAGTATCGGTGTTTGTGACAGTTAATGTGATATGATGGCTATTCAGTGAAGAAATACTCTCTTGGTGAGAGACTTGGCTTATGTCATCGTTAAAGTGACAATGAGAACAATTGCAATGATGCGACGGATATGGTTCGCCTGCTTGATCGGCGTGTCTTGCTAGAAGGAGATAAAGCGAACCGACCATAGCCATCGCAGTACCGGTAATAGGGGCCCATTGGCCTTGAAGAAACCAAATATTAGTTGAATTCAAATAGTACTGGGGTATGCTTACCGATATTGGCCATTGGCTCAGTCTGGTAGTTAACTTGAGGGCTGAAAAAGTTAATCTCGCCCACAATAAGTATAGCCAAGCCAGCGCCACCAAAAACGGGGATTGCTAGGATACGAAGGAAGAAGCCAATAGTATCGTTGACTTTCTTCATAACGCCCTTGTTAGCACTTTCATCATCCTCACTTGCCGCGTCGTCGTTCTGTTTTCCGAATCTTCGGCGCCAATTGATTTCAAGCACTCTATCCCACATGGAAATGAGACATAGAACAGCGTGTACGCAACATGCTGCAGCGAGTAAAGTCGCGGTACCGAATGTGAGGGTATGCGGTGCTGGTATGACATAGATGTTGTTCGCGGATCCGCCTCGCATTGGAGATGATGGCCCGTTTTGCGTGGAACAGGTCAGGTTACAGTTGTTTCCTTCGATGTAGTGAAACTTTGATGCGTTTGGTGATACCGGGTTGCCTGATGCGTCGGTTAAACAGGAGTGAGTTTCGATGCGATAAAACTCAATCGTCATACTCAAAAGACCTAATATTCAGTTAGACACTGGGCCAGACTTCATTTGATACAACTTACCGATCAATAGCAGAAATGTCCACAGAAAAATGGTATTTCGACCGGGATCATTGAAGTACGTCTTCGACAGCATGACCGTCACCGGCGCTGCCAGAATACCAATCGCGCAGAGCTGAAAAGCACCATAAATATCCATGTCGACCGCATCTGTGCCAATCAGTTCGAGGACTTCTCGATTTTGGGCTTATTGCTCACCAGGATTGTGCATTGCCGTCAAAACTATACCGTGAATAGCGGCAACAGCTGGCAGCACCAACGCAGCGGCCAAACAAGGATTCACGAGCCATTCTTCCCTCCTCGCGACAAGACATGCAGCAATGAGAACGTAGTATCTAGAAATTATTAGCTTTGCGTCAATCGACCAGCAATTATACTCACAGAACTCGAGTACCAGTGCCATATTGACCAGAAACAGGCCATGCGCAAATAACCTGCAGCGCATCACCAGTCTCATTCGCTGCCCGCGAAAAAAGCACACTATTTGCTATTGTCTCAGCCGCATCGGTGGCAGAAAGCGCAGGCATATCGACATTCTGTCTTGGCAGGGTTGAATCCGGGGGGGAGAAAAAAAGCCAAGTCAGCCCAAAATGTGGGGGAATAACAAGATCTTAGCAGAAGCTTCTTTTTTAATACCCGCAAGTTCAGGGACGAGTCTTTACCAAAAACGTCACTGGGTGGTCATAAATGGCCAGAGCGTTAGCAGGCTTCTACTTTCGAGTGGTAGACATTCAGCTGACATCTTGGCACAGCCACAAAATTCACTCGAGCCGGGCGAGGACTGGGCGCAAGAGTAGTCTCTACTAAGCATAGCTCGGGTTGCATACTGCGTTGCGTTAGGCATCAACAACTGTACCCTGTCACCAGAAAGAACAACGAAACCTTCTAGAAGACTTTTTTCTCTCTCTCCCTTCTTTTTCTTCACATCAGCCCTGTTTTCTGTTTCAGCCAGAGATCGAAAGGGAGAAGGTCATCGAATAGAAGCTGCTGTCGGCCCTTTACCTCAAAACATGCTGACACTACGATATTCTTCTTCCTTTCAATTGGACCCTCAAGTTTCCTCCCCACTTTTAAATACGACCCCACATTCGTCGTCAGGTTTTCTCTGTATTTAACCTGAGAGTGCCACTTTTGACTTTAGAGGAAATCGAGTTGAATCCTCTCAGCCAAAATCATGGTCAAAGGCGTGGACACCAGCGAGATACGACAATGGCGCTCGATAGTAACGCTGATAGTCTTTGTACTTGCTAGTAAGACGACCCTTTCACAAGGATACAAAGCGTGCACTGACCGGGTTCTACAGATATTCTCGTACTATGGCCATTTCACATGCCCATTTACATACCAAAATCCCTCGTCAATCTGATATGCAGACTAGCAGTCAAACTGCGAGTTATACCCCCGAGCACACATCATGCGATTCTTCATGATAATCCAAGATGTTCGAAATATTTTGTCAAAGTCACTTTTCCCGTCAATTTCATCACTGCGCCCTTGATAGCGGATCTCTTTCTACTAGCTATTTCTGCGATAGGACGCCAAGAGGTTTACGATGGGACGATAGGCGCTGATAATATCCACCCGATCGATATTATGGTCTTCTTCATCACTTTGGCTTACATTGCTATTTCTATCGATGCATCGGGTATTATTCGATGGCTGGCCTTCAAGGTGTTGTCTTGGGGAGGAAAGGTTGGCCATCGATTATTCTTTTACCTTTATTCGTTCTTCTTCCTTCTCGGCAGCTTCATCGGCAATGATCCCATCATTTTATCTGGAACGGCATTCCTCGCGTACATGACGCGCGTATCGAGCAACATTACCAGTCCGCGAGCCTGGATCTTTACTCAATTCGCAGTCGCCAACATCGCCTCAGCAATTCTCGTTTCGTCAAACCCCACGAATCTCGTTCTCGCTGGAGCCTTCGACATCAAGTTCATCGTCTACACGGCCAACATGATAGTTCCCGTCGTCGTCACCGCCGTTGTTCTCTTCCCATTTCTGCTCTACGTCATTTTCGCTGACGAAAAGCTTATCCCTTCCAAGATTGAGATGCACAGCTTACCAGAAGAGGCTAGAGCCCAGCGGCCCGTGAACCCCAACATCCCCTACGTTCAGCACCAAGTTGAAGATGCCGAAAATGCAGGCGAGGGGATGACGCTGTCGCTCGCGTACATCATGAATCCTTTTCTTGACAAAAAGGGCGCGATGTTTGGTGCGCTAATCATGTCTGCGACTCTCATTACTGTTCTGGCTCTCAACGCTGCTAGTGCCGGGAGTGGAGAGCACCCTGTTTTCTGGGTGACTCTTCCAGCAGCGTTTGTCATGTTTTGCTGGGATCTTGGCTTTGGATGGTTACATCGCAAGGAGACGCGGCAAACGGCAGCTCATTATCGACGGGAGATGGAGCGTGCAAGAGCTGAACGCGCGCGATTTGCAGTGGAATATGCTGAGACTTCACAGGATAAGTCTGAACCTGATACCGAGACGGTACCTGGTCTTCCTGATCACCAGACCTCGGAAGATTATGGTCAGACTCATGGCATTTCTCTCACTCCGTTACAAACCACCAATGATCAGTCCAACTCACATTCCATCCCCAAGGTGATTTTATCAAACACCGCCGGGAACAGTCCTGTCATCATCTCGGGCTCTATGCCTCAATCACCCAACTCAGGTCCTTCATCACCAAGCGACCAAAACACACTGCACCCCGGAGCCTTGTCAACATTACCAAGTCCTCAAATGGAACCCGAGAAGCTCGAGGCTGGTCGACCCATGGCGACAGAACCAGAGGAAAGATCAACTCTTTTGTCCGAGGCTAGAAAAGGCTATGCATCGCTTGAGAGGGCTTACGAGTGGCTACAAGAGACTTTCCCGACAGTCATGGCCGTCATGGCTCATCTTCCGTTTGCACTAGTTCCATTTGCCTTCGCCATGTTTGTACTAGTCCAGGCACTAGTGAGCAAGGGATGGGTCAACGTCTTTGCCTATGGTTGGTATCATTGGTCAAAACGTACTGGCACAGTTGGAAGTATTGGAGGAATGGGCTTCCTTTCGTGTGTCTTGTCCAACGTAAGTCCCTTTCAAAAGTGATGATTCTGGGAAGACGCTGACAATCCATAGTTTTCCGGTACTAACATTGGCACCACTATCTTACTATCACGCATCATCCAAGCATGGAAAGAAATCAACTGTCACGACGACCAACTCATCAGCGATAGAACATACTGGGGCACGATCTACAGCATGGCCGTTGGAGTCAATTACGGAGCATTTAGTACCGCCTTCAGCGCATCACTAGCTGGTCTTCTCTGGAGAGATATCCTTGCTCGAAAGCACATTCATGTGAAGAGTCACGAATTCGCGCGGGTCAATTTCCCCATTATTGCGATTTCAATGGCTGTTGGCTGTCTCATATTGGTGGGAGAGGTGTACATCGTGAGGGATAACTCACCATACTCCTCATTTGAAAAGGCTTGCCCGAATAATTAATGAATGAAAGTTATAGATATAATCATTATAGAATGTATATAGCAACTCCGAACATACCCATGAAATAGACTATTTCTGTTGCTGATAAGCGATGGTTGAGCCGCTTTGACCCGACTCTGCCCACTATGATTTACGATCCTCGCGGAGGCGATACAACACCCAATCCAAGCTACGCAATCCACTGTCAGCGTCAATCCACAACGGCGCACTCCAACTCCTAGTCTCAGCGTTATGGGCCTTGAGAAGACTCATCAACTCAGTCGTGTTCTCATTCGCAGCATTCAGAATCTTATTCACCATCTTCTCATCATCCAAATCTGCTTCTTCAAAAGCCGGAAGCTTTTCGGGGAAGCAATATCTCTTGTACACCAGATCCAACGCTGTTCGGCCATATTGGTCAGGAATATTCGGATTTGCGCCGTACTCGAGAAGTCGTCTCACGACGAAGTAGTTGCCAGCTTCGGCAGCTACTGCTAGAGCTGTCATCTTATGTGGTCCCGCTGTGTTGTCGAGTTGTTCCTGGGAATTGTACTTCCGAATGAGTTCGACAATTATGATGCCAGTGACCTCGTTGTCTCCAGCGAATTCTCCGACATACTTGATAGTGAAGTGGAACAAGGAGAACGTCTCATCGCCGACTTTTACCATGAATCCATCAGAGCCATTACGATCTGGAAGACTGAGCAAGAACTTGACCCGATAGAGGGCATTTCTGGTACCAGTCGAGAGCATGTCTGACATTATACTCCTCTTCATCGACGTAGGGACACGGTCTCTATCCGCACCATTGTCGAATAGATACTGTGAAACAGTAAAATTTCCACTGTAAGTGGCAGCGTAGAAAGCGCTGAAAGGCTCAGGCGTGATCGGATCGACCGAAAGGCCCTTATCGAGAAGCGTCTTGGCGAAGTAGACGTCGTCTGTTTCTTTTGCAGCACGGTGCAGCGCGTTAAGACCATCAGCATCTACCGCATTGACATCTGCACCAGCATCGACAAGAGCCTTGAACATATCGCGATCGCCATGCGTAATGGCTAGAAACAAAGCAGAGCCTCCACTGGACATTCTGCCGAAGGTAGCGTTGATCTGATTCGCGAAGCCCAGCTCAAGACCTGAAACCATAAGATCTGCTGTACATTGATGGTACGCCGTGGCAAAGACTGCTGCCATCTTAACGTTGCTTCCAAGTTGCAAGACAGCATCAGTAGGTGCGCCGTTCTCAATCAGGGCTTTCATCGTCTTCTTTGTCTCCGATTCAAAATCGACTCCCAAAGTCAACAGGCGTTGCCAGCGCGGGGTTCCGGATATAACATGGAAAAGAGGCAAATACATCAGCTCACCTCCACCTACCATTGGTTTTGGTTTGCTGGCTTCTTTCTGGACTGTTGGCTCTTGGAGAAGCCGTTCGACCACTGGCGAGTAGCACAGTCCACATGCGAGTTCAAGTGGTGAGAGATGTGATCCCTCCCTCTCCTCTACCTCCATACAGAATGTTGGATCAGCGCCCAATTTGATAAGAGTATCCACAGCAGATAGTCTCTTCTGAGTGATAGCCCAGTGTAGAGGAGTTTGAACCATGAGTCCATCTTCGTTGACCTTTATTCCATATTGGGTGCGTGATATTGTACAAGCAGGGGAGTTTAGATCGGCGCCTTTGCTGACCAGAAGTTTTGCGATGATTTCATGGTCTTCGTCTTCAAAGGAGCAGAGCCAGTGAAGAGGTGTTATACCCCTTTCGTCCGCAATCTGTGCAGCACTGCCGCAGCCGGGGTGTTGTAATATCGTCTCCAGAACGTGCTTTCGACCAAGACGGGCAGCGAGGAGTAAAGGTGTTTCGTCATTCTGCAGCGCTAACTCGATCAAGCCATGGCTCTGGTCCAAGCAGGTGGCTGTGACATCGGGCTTGTCCATAACGATACTCCACAATAGCAGATCCCTGGAGTGAGAAAACTCGACTTCATTCAGGGATAAGGCTTCTAACATGGAAGACAAGTCTTCAGACACGCTAGCGTTAATGCCGAGATGAGTTAGTTCATCTAGCTGAACCTTCTGATTAACTTGTTGCCAGTCGGAAGGCCAGTCCTCTTTCAGCCTCTGGAGAGCAACTGGGTTCCCAGCTTGGGCTGAGTCAACAACC